GCTCTGACTCCTGGATCCAAGCCTCCTGCCTCGCCCCCGTCTGATACCGCCGCTGCTTCTGACTTCCTGGTTCTGACCCACGCTCTGACTCCTGGATCCAAGCCTCCTGCCTCGCCCCCGTCTGATACCGCCGCTGCCTCTGACTTCCTGGTTCTGACCTACGCTCTGACTCCTGGATCCAAGCCTCCTGCCTCACCCCCGTCTGACACCGTCGCTGCCTCTGACTTCCTGGTTCTGACCTACGCTCTGACTCCTGGATCCAAGCCTCCTGCCTCACCCCCGTCTGACACCGTCGCTGCCTCTGACTTCCTGGTTCTGACCTACGCTCTGACTCCTGGATCCAAGCCTCCTGCCTCACCCCCGTCTGATACCGTCGCTGCCTCTGACTTCCTGGTTCTGACCCACGCTCTGACTCCTGGATCCAAGCCTCCTGCCTCACCCCCGTCTGACACCGTCGCTGCCTCTGACTTCCTGGTTCTGACCCACGCTCTGACTCCTGGATCCAAGCCTCCTGCCTCACCCCCGTCTGACACCGTCGCTGCCTCTGACTTCCTGGTTCTGACCCACGCTCTGTCTCCTGGATCCTCGCCTTTCGTCACCCCTGTCAAGTGACGTCATCCAAGGGATTCCCCCGACAGCGCCGCTCGCCTGGAGGACTCCGGATTCTTGTAACGCAAGTCTGCTCCACTTTTCAAATAAACTGTTTAAATCTTCTCTGGTGTGTGACAAATTTTGAAACTCAAAAAAGCCCATTCATTACAAGGGGTGGGCATATAGATCTAAATATCGATGCTATCTATACCAAGGTGAGTATCGGTATTGACTTTATTTTTCCCAAATAAAGTAAAAAATAAAGTCAGCAGTGCAGTCTCCAAATTGTTTGGAGTTAGTCGTTAGTCCTTTTTAACATGCCCACAGGTAATGGAATATTTTGTTTTGTTATGTTGACATTGTTATAGTTACATTTTTGTTACATTTTTACATGTTGCACAAGTGACTTATAAAGGGATTATTTGGTTATTTCTATACTCTTACTTTTTTAGTAGCTAACTTTTTTATTTGCCTGATGTATTTGTTCTGTGTTTTATCATAATTGACTAACTAAAGGCAAAATCACTAAATTATTCAATGACCATGACAGATATCCATATCGGCGTTCCCAGCACTGTATTTACTTGCATCACATCAATACCAAAATTCCCTGTATAGCCCACCCCTAAAATAGACTGCACCTCAAACAGTTTAAGAAAGACTTAGTGATAATTTGTAGTTTATAACCCTCAGCCGCTACAATAATAGTTTAAAAATGGTTGAATTTAGTGTATTCAAATTATTTTTTTGTTGTGAACATGACTTTAAGATATTATTTTTTAGTTTTGAGTGACCCTAGTACCATCTTGAAGAACCATTTGCATGTCATTAAACAACATATACATTTCTAAAAAACGATCACATCTTGTTTTAATACCAAGGCTTTTTTTCATGCTGGTTAAACTTATTGAAAGCAGTGACCTTTTTATGATTCCTGTTTTTTTTTTTTTTTTGTAAATGTTTTATTTTGTATCTGGTTGGGTGATGTCATGTTGTGGCCTGAAGGACATATCGGTCCCACAGACAGGTGTCCTGACCTTCTGTCTGCACTGCCACGCCTCGGGGGACCTCTGTGAAATTGAGGCTAAGGCTTTGACCTCATCTCTCATCCACTGTTTGTGTCTAAACGGAGCCCTGCTGCAGATGCAGTGAATCAGAACATGGGGAGAGTAATGCATTTATGCATCGTCTTTACTGCAAAACACACTTTTTTGTATTTTTAAAAAGAATATTTAGAGGGATTTTATAGAAATTTATTATCAACCATCAAAGAATAATAAAAAAACAGATTTGTGTGTGGGGCCAATTTGTTTTTGGGAAGCTTATTCTTTACCCCCATATGTTTATGTGCGAAAATAACATTTCACATGACCACCCTCTGGTACCCACTGGCCATGGCAAACTTGCATTATTCAAAGATATAGATGAAAGCCCCCTCTGATCCACCAAAATAACACCCTTTTGCAATAATCTGTTTAGATTAGTTCCTTTGATGATATTTTTTCTGCCGTTGGCTTGTCACTATGGCATCATGGCTGCTACAGTGAACATTAAAACAGTCTTTTGTGCCACTTAATGCTGTGAAACATATCTGTCTTGCAAGTCATTGTATTAATTTGCCATTGCCTTCTTTAAGGCATATGCCAGGAATGACTCTGATAGCAAAGAGGCAATTTGAACTATGAGAGAAACTTGGGAGGACCCTTAACCTTTGTGTCCAAGAACCAAATTGTCATCAAAATGTTTTATCAAAGTCTTTGTTGCACTTCTAACCAAGCAAATCAAGGTAAAAAAGGTACAAAACAAGAATTACTTCACACTCAGTTTCCTTGATTTTGTTTAAATATGTATTAATAATGGACTAAAATTATTGACCATGGAGTAAATGTCACTTTTTTCTCAGTCTTGCTYTTGTCAGAGGCTATTGTTTATTGATAGTCAGAGGTCTGAGTTATTTCCCAGCTGTGGTAATTGAGAACTCCCAGGTTCCGATGTATAAACTATGCTCAAAATGTTGAATTATGTTGTTACTTACCTTTATATGCTTCAATTATACTCCTCGAAAAATAATCAGTGAAATGTATTTCTATTTGTGTTCAGAACGTTGTGCACTAGAACGTTACAGCCCTCATGTGCTGAAGTTATTCAACTGAAACTTGTTTGGCAGGGCTGCTCTACGCTGCAAGTWTACAATCCCTTGTTTCTTCTAGAATTGTGCAATTATTGTTAGAAACAACTCTCTTCTTAGTGCTTTAAGTTCTGCTTGTATCCAWACACAGTGGACTTCTGCAGTTAGAGATCCGGCTAGTGCAGTCTGGACCTAGCAGACTGTTGGGGGAAACATGTCAGGTGTCTCGAGTTCTCCGTCTTCTCTGTACGTGTGCAGATAATCACCCACATGTGTGACTGTTTGCGAGAAGCCATGGTCGCTATGTACACGCATTTGCACACACTTCCATTCGAGCGTCACGCCGCAGATCCAGCCTGTTTGTGTGGGTATGTGCCGTTGCGCATGTTTCATGCCGAACATTGTCTTCTTGAAACACTAAGAAAATCTCCTCAATGTGATAATTGGCTCCCCGGGGTGCTTTTATTTTTGCTGCTCATCATCATTATCCCCTCAAGAGAAAAAATAAATAAATAAAAATTAGAAATGTGTGTTGGTTGAGACAGTTAAAGTTTTCTCTCTTATTGGGGAAATTGATCCCAAGTTTGTGTCAACTCTCAAGCAAGAAAATCCTAAAAACTCTAAAGTAATGAGATAGTGGGTCCAGGTTTGGTGCAGACTGGTGCAGGATGCCGTCACTGGGGCATCAGCTGCTTGTATTCTGATGCAATGTCTTGGATTAAATTGACTATTTTAGAATGACATTAGGGACCAGTGATGGATGAGGCTTCAGACGCTGCTGCGTATTGAAGACAATCAAATGCTTTTATTGTTTCTGTGGAGCAAAAACTGCAGGAAACCATATGTTTAGGGTAATTGGTGACAAGCAGCTAAAATGCTTTACTTGTTTGGGGTTTTTTTTGTCTTCTACGGACAACACCGGTTGGTGGTTTGCAGCGCTGACACCTGAGCTGTTTTTGTGCCCGAAGGCAAATAAAGACACTCACCTGGCCAACAGTAGTCTCTCCTCTCAAAGTCTTTCACATCCATATGTTTCCTGCAGTCTCTGGGGTATCACGGACCACAGAGCAGATTGCTGGCCGCTTCATAGGGGAAACAGTGAGACAGCTGGGCACCCATCACATCGCCAAACAGATGTTCAGGTGACTAGGAGAGGAAGTAGAAAGAAATGGCAGGAGGGTGGGAGGTGATGCGGAAGGAGAGTGTTGATGAGGGCTAAAAAGATGAATTAATACGTTGATGCAAGGACTTGGAGACTTCATTTGAAAAAACCTGTCAGYCTATAAGGTGGGCCAAATGTTTTCCACTTTCCTCAGGCCACTAGAGTCAGTTTTGTCTCTTATTTGACAYAGCCACCTGGGTTTATCTGCTTAAGGTCCAATGCCTTTGATCTCTTGACTAGCCTACATGCGAAGGAGATGACTAAATGGCTCATTGATTTGGTGCCTTAGTTCTGACACACTTTAGGGAACATTAGGTATCTGAAATTGAATCCAACCCTGCAACCAAATAATGAAAAGTTGCTTCTGTTTTTTATGCGATGGATAAAAAAATGGAAATCCTTGGCTTAGGGCCAAGCTCAGTTCAGAGGTTCTGATCTGACACAAATCTGAGCAGCAGGTGATGTAATAGCAAATGTTTTTGACAAGATGCTCATCCCATACTGGTGGTGAAGCTCATGTGTCTGTTTTCTTTTTCTTCTCTGCATTTGTCAAATCAAACCCATTGAAAAGTCCTTTTTTAGCTGCTCCGAGGCCCCACACAGCCCTTCTCTCCTTTCTTGTGTCAACCTTTGTTCTTTGGTTGCAGGTCTCATGTATAATACATGAGGACTGGGAGACTTATCCCATTCTGGCCATACTGGCTCCTATTCCCTGGAAAGGTGCTATATTTAAGAGCCAAAGACAGAGTCAGGGAAGCTGCTGACTCCTACCAAAATTGTGGTGGTGGTCGAATATTATTAAATTCCTAAAATAGATCTTAGCACAGTTGCGTTGTAGCAGCAGTAAGGTTGATTTTAGGGGCCTCATTGTAAAGGATTCCAAACTAGTTTTATGGAAAGTCTATCTGAATAGGCGTACTATGTTAGTTCATTTTATTGTTGAGATATTTACATGTATTTTTCTCCTTTCCTTCTACAGCTGGCACAACCTACATCTTTGGAAAAGGAGGGGGACTGATCACATACACGTGGCCCAACAATGAGAGGCCAAGCACACGGACTGACCGCCTAGCAGTGGGCTTTAGCACCACCATCAAAGACGGCATCCTGGTCCGCATCGACAGTGCTCCACGCTTGGGAGACTACATCATGCTACATATTGTACGTATTACTGTTATCTATCGAGAAGACTGTATTTTCGGCTTGTTGCTTTCATTTTAGAAGCGTATTTCAGGTTTTATAAYGAAGGTGTTACCAACAAATAGGCTTCTAATTATTTGTATACTCGGGGCAAGCCTCAAGTCAAATATAGCTCATGTGTATGAAACTAAATCAAGAACAAGTTGTAAAGTACAAACTTTGTTGGTAACTATGGCAAAATAACCTACAATTACAAGGAACACAGCTCTGAACTTAACTACAGGGAACAAAATATTGTACTTGTATACAATGAATGCAGCTTACAATTTTGTTTTGTAACCTCATGGAGAGCCACTTTGTATATAACTACATGGAATTTAGCTCCATACATTAACTGGAAATGCAACTCTATACACAGCAATTCTGAATATAACTTGGGTTGGGAGTTCTACAGAACCACAGGGAACACAAGTTCTAACTAAAGAGAACTCAACACGGTACATACCCATGGTAAAAATGGTTCTGTAGTAACTACTTGAATGGCAGTGTTGTATTTGATTATTAGGAACTCAGCTATGTAGGTAACTGCCTGGAAAGCAATTCTGTTTTAATGCAGAAAACACATTTCTTTGTAAGTACAAGAAGCTAAACTCTAACTACCAAGTTTTTATAACGAAGAAGAAAGTAATCCTGTAACTCTAAACAGTTCTGTTCATAATAACCAAGAAGACTGTATTTTCTGCAGTATTTCGTTGTGTTGACCAAAAGAAAAACAAGCTATAAACAGTCATACCCCCATGGCCACCCTTAGGTTTGATTCAGCTCATGCCTCTCAAACTAATGTCGATGATTAGATGCAAAAAATACACCCGTAGCTTACTGTACACTTCAGCTCTGCTCACCATCCCCCGTACAGATAAACCCACCTCTCCACCACATCCAAACTAACTCTCGGCATGAATAATGAATGGAGCTTTCCATACATATGCAGCGTTTTCCCACATGTTGGAGAAACATGATAGAAAGCGATGGGGGGAGCGCCGCGAGATGGAGTTCATGGCCAGCGGACCGAGCGCTCATTCAGCATCTTAATAATCTCACACTGCGACCTTGCATTGGACTCTTTCACATGAGCATCGACTATTAACATAATCATCAACAGTCACCCCACCACCACCACCCCCAGATGAGTGCAGGGCATGAAAACGTTGCACTGTAGGTGTGACAAGAGTTGCTTCTAACGCTTTGGAGTTACTAAAAAAAAAAGATGCGATGATGAGGAGGGGCTACAGTTGCTAAAACAGATTGAATGTCTTCTTCTTAAAGAGCTTCTCTCATCTCCTGAGTGCCGGCCATGTGGTGCAGAAAAAGCGCCATCTGCTCTGCTAAGACGAGGGCCAACAACAAACACTTTGGAGTCTGCTTTACAGTACAGAGAAGTAGAAGCGCATGGAAGTTGGTTTGCCCGTGCGTTTAGGTGAGAGAGGAAGTAAAGTGGCGGGGATTCAGGGAAAATGATAAAGATGTACAGTAAATTGTGTGGGTGATGTGGGGATAACGACGCCTCSGTTTCTAACCGATTGAGTAAATCTCTAAAGGAAGGAAATGAACGCCCATTTTCTTTTCATTTTGCATTTTTAGATAGTATGGCGAAGCTAGCCAAGCAGAATATCTGCTTTAAATTGGCTGCGAGTTGTTGAGCAGCGTATGTCTGCATTTATTTTTTTTCTCCCGTATGCACTAATACATTTATTAATAGGATAAAAGCAAGTGGAGATTTCATCAACTCAATCATAAGAACCAGCACGCTGCAAAGTGGCTGTCTTTTTCCTGTGTGGGTAGCATTCCTCCGCTAATATTTCAAATGATTTATTGACTTCTAACAATGTATAAACAAARCAAGTCTTTCATTTAATATTAATAGTAATTATAGCCTTAAACTATAAAATAAGTGGCAAGGTGMTGCATGGCTTCTTTGTTCTGCAATTATGCTTGAACACAAAGTAAATGAGGTAGGTTAGATTAATTTTTTCCRCACCCTCAATGAAGAAGTGAATGAWTAAAAACAATCTGYAGACCTTGAGTGAATATTTAGTTTTTCAGAGGAAAAAAAATAAACCACTCATCAAAATTCCAATGTTTGTGGCTAATTGAAAAAAAAGGATTATCATTTGCCCCACATTAATTTGTACAGTGCTGTGTTAAAGAGATATTAGACTGAAGGTTAGTGCCATTGGGTGTATTGTCTAATTGCAGCTAAAACAACTTTGGTGTCTGTAGAAAGTGTGTATTTGCGAATGCCGTGAAATTAGAAGAGACTACACCAGATTTCAAATGACAACCATCGGGGTCTTTGCTCTCAGCAGTTTACGTGTAGTAATGAATTTGAAGGAAAAGGTTAAAAGCATTACGCTTGTCTATTCTGGATATATGTCCAACCAAAGGTCTTGTCAAGCCCGAGGCCATCACCTTAGCTTTTGTAATTATTGGGTCACTGCTTGCACATCAGCTCACTATAGCAACACTTTAACATCTTTAATGGATAATGTGATGTGCTAAGGTCAACAGGAGGAAAAATAGCTTCAGCAATAAAGATTTTAGTAGACTTTTTTTAAAGTTTATCAATTCTTTAAAAAGATTCACCAGTAGAATAAACATGTCCTTCGGTCAGTTTGACTTTTTTATATAAGTTAAGTCTGCAGTTTACAAATGATTGTTAAACGTCAACACTTTATTCAATATGCAGAACCCACAACACTGAGGGGGGAAAACATTTCAGAGAAGAGCTAATCACAGACACTCTCCCTAGACTTGCTCTCTCTTTTGCTTTGCTCATTATCTCTTCCTCGTGATTAGCTTACAGCTTGTTTGGCAATCATGAATTAAAATGCTGATTGTAGTGTTTACATTTTAACTGCGACGAACAACTGCACGCTTGGCTTGAAATCCGAAGGGCAATTTGAGGAAATTTGCGGAGGTGAGCGGGGCATTTTGCCACTGCTGGCATCTCATTTAGGAGTTCATTTGATCTGATTGTAGAGCAGAAAACAGACTAAGACCTTGCCATTTTCTACAAGAAAATATAACTGATTGTGCTGAACACAAACCAATTGCACATGTTAGAATCCTTTGGCTGTCACAGGATGTATGTACATATAAATGTGTAGCAAATATTGTTTTAACATAAGTAAGTAGAACCTGGAGGCTTGTGGTGATGGTAAAGTAGCAATCTAGCTAGCTTGCAAGCTAGAGATCTTTTTTGCAAGCTAGCTAAAGTGGAGCAACCCATCCAGGTTCTGTTTGCCTTTGCCTTTCCACACATTTGCACAATTGCACAATAAAACTGCAGTCCTAAGAAGCTTTTCAGTGCACAAGTATTGGGTATAAATGTCACTGCTGATCAACAATAACCCTTGTTTCCTCAGGTCAGTTGGCTGTGGCAGCCATCTTGAATTGGGTTGGTTTAAAAGAAAGTACGGTAATCCGTTTTAGATGAACAGCCAGTAATTACTTTCTAWGAGTTTTGTGTCCAGTTATTCATGAGATATTTTGCTGACAGAGTTGACTAAAGAATTAATGGCAACGTAATAAAAATCTTGCACAAACGGTTAGCAATTAGCTTTAGAATGGCTYATACTTACAAGCACAAAAGGTTTGAATCAATGTTAGAAAGCCATTTTTTATTTGTTTTAAKGTCAGTTGGCTGTGACAGCCATCTTGAATTAGGCTCCAAAGGTTAATCAATTGTAGAACCAGTTTTTTTTTTAACAGAAATGTAATTAACAATTGTCCAGTGGCTTAGGAGATATTTTAATAACATAAAAGCACATTAACATACTCACACTCACATGTGACCATTCAAGCAGAATTATGCAATCTTGCTTCATACTGTAGGTATGGATGGATAATGTAGATGGATACAAATAATGTAGTAATAAATAGGATAGATGTGATAATGGGAACGATAAATAGATAATCCAAAACAAATGTAGGTTTTAGATGATTTTAAGCTCATAAAACCYCTGGTAAAAATAAATAATAATAATAAAAATCACCCTCTTGGAAGATGTTGTCATTGTTTAATTTTGTATAAACACAAATCATAATTGTGCCACAAAACGTYATCAAATTCCAACCTTCTTACGTTGAAGAATCAAACAAAAGGAAGATACACAATTGTTGTAGTTAGTCACGACTGTTGTTTATTAGATTAAGTGGGGGGAAAATATTTTGGAATTACTCAATTGCATGGGAAGAAAAATGGAATTGAGGAAAARTTACTTCTTCATTTGTACTTTGTTGCACCACCTGTGTTTTTTTTTATAACAGCTTGAATTATGTAAGGCATGGACCTAACAAAAGAAAACCATTTTTTATGACTCTGTCTCCAACTGTTTCTTATTGCTGTTTCCTGATCAGCTTTGCAGGTTGCWGCGTTTGTCGTTCTTCTTTTTTTTCAATTCCCACCAGAGATGATCAAATTCCCTTAAAACAGCTTAAAACAGCTCTCCCAAACCCTCCAACAACAAACATGGCAATCAGTCAGACTCCTGAGTTTTAATGGAAAAACACCGCACTAAATTTCATTATCTGTTGGAGTTTTCTTCTCATGCTAATTCACTGGGAGGAAAAGCGCGGCGCGTAGATAATTAAAAAACCCTCGTGCAGACACTCAGGGACGAGATGTGGAGGGGAGACACGTGGCTGTGGATGGTAAATGCYAGCCAATACCGTTGCCTGTTTTTTAAACCATTTTAAGCATGCATTAATATATTTTAACAAATAAATGCAGGAGTAAAGGTTCCCTCTCATCCCCATCTAGATCCATCCATCACCCATTCTTTTCTGTCACTGTGTTTGTCAAACGGTGTCTCTTTCCCCATCTTCCTCCCCTCCCGCCCCCTCCTGACAGACATAATATAAGATGTTTGATGTGTACCTGTGTGCATCAGTGCGTATACAGCTAGCAATGTATTGCTTCTATCAAGTTACCCCACCTCTGCAGGGAAAGATAGATATTA